GGGGGGGGGGGTTTGGGGGGGGTTTTGGGAAAAACAATTTTTTTTCTGGTGTGTTTTTTTTTTTTTTTTTTTTTTTTTTTTTTTTTTTTTTTTTTTTTCCCCCCACTGACTAACCTAAATTCAGTCAGAAAAATTCTGATCGCTCATCCTGTTAAAACTTCTGCCTTTGAATAGCCAGAAGGATACAGCTTATTATGCAGAATGATTTGAGCGAGGTTATCCTACGTATGAGTTTAATTCATGCAGGAAATGGATTCAGAAGCAGCAGAAAGAGCAAAGCAGACATGGAAAACAAAACACACGTAGAGGCACAAAAAATAACATTTTAAAAATAATTCTGCATAGGTAATATCAAATATTGCTTAAAAAATACAAAAGATGAGCATAAATTGATGTCCTTTCCATAGTGTCTTTTGAGACCGACTTGACTGTTTATTTTACTGGCTGGAAATGCCTCATTCAATCATTTTCCCCTAGAACAGTTTCCTGAAAAACATCCTCAATTTAGCTTTTGTCTAAGCAAAAATGGTGCAGTTGTGAGCTGATTATCAACAACAGTTAAACTGGTCACTATTTTGTGACTCTACAGAATTTATGAAACATTTAATGGTTGTTCAAATTAAATTTCTGTTTTTATTTTCTACAAGATTCAAACCTGCTGCTCACAGATGGTAACACAAACCAATTATCCAGGAGTCACACAAAAAATCTAATAATAAAGTCCTACAGGATAACATAAATATAACTTGCAGTCCCATACTTAGTCAGATCATTCTCACTAAATTAGAGAAAGTTAATTTATTTGAGTGAAAAACAAGCAGGGATAGCTCAACATAAACAGGTGCCAAGTCCTGCTGGGAAATTAAAACTTTTTTCAACGGAGGAACAAATGAAGAGGTCTAAATTCTCCGGTGAACAGCTGCACTGACACTGGACTCGATACAGCTCAGTGGACCAGCTGAGCAGATGAAATGGCCCCCCACATGGCCAGGGAACCGCCACACTGGACTCCAAATTGGATTCAAATAGAATGAAAATTTCATTCAAAAAGAGTAGCAGTCCAGTCCTTCCTGGACTTTGCTTCACAATCGATTTATGCCGCAATCTTCCTGTTGCTTGTGCACTTATCTTCTACTGCACTTCTTCCGTCTAATAAAACTTCTGCTAATTATGCAAAGTAAATTTGCACAAAGTAAACCTGTGCAATGAATGTTGCAGACAAAGTTCTAATTTGTTGAGACGCACACCGAAAACATCAAAGTACAAAACCTGGAGCTAAGACACTGCTGAGGAAATGGAATCGGCTCCCTTCCTCATGTTTGGATTCGTGAACTGCAGTAAAACCTCCAGAAGAAATTGAGTCCAGCCTGAGCAGAGTTGGTGATAAAAGCACAGCTTGTTTGAAAACGGACGCTTGAATATTATTGTCTCCATGAATGGATGAATCATATCTGCTCTTTCGACGTGCTACGTTTCTGAGACTACCAAGCACATCCAGCTGGCCGCTCAACGCTATTTCAGTTTTCAGTCTTTACACATTCAGAGGATCTCCGCACAGAAAATGTATTCCTGAAACATAAAAGCCCCGATATTTGTAAAGAAAGTAAAGCCTCTGTACTGTTATATTACAGCCTCATATTAAGGCT